TTCAAAGACTAAACACTATTTTATAGTGCTATGAAACAATTTTGTTTACATTTAACTACTACACAGATGCATACAATCAAACAATACTTCGTTTATAAACATATAAATCTAGAAAATAAAATTAAAAGGTGTTTCATCCACCAAACTTAGCCAAATTATTTTCTTCCCTTTCTTCATAGTGCCACAATACTTGATTTATCCACGATTTAGGAAATGCAAAAGATGACCTATATCTGTTTAACAAATCCGAAAACACAGGATACCACACCCTTAGCAGGCTGTCAAATAGAAAATGCACTGCAGCTGCCCGGCAAATCGAGCTTATGTTAAGACGGAAAAATGAAGGACGAGTATATTGAACAGAAAACATAAACTGACAAGAATATCTAGTAGAGATAAAAGAAATGGATATCACCACCACAATCGATTATGAAAAACACGTTCCTGCTCTGAACCTCTCAAACTTGATGAATAAGGAGTTTGAATTAAGAAATCCAGAAAAAAAAAAAAAAACAGGATAAAGTACTCAAGACAGTCACAATGACTCAATGTATATCAACAAACAGAAATAGGAAGAAGAAGAATGAGGAATCAAGATTTACTGTCATCACCAATAGCCAAACAAATGAACAATTATCTAAAAGCCTTTGAATATCAATTCCAATTACCAAAAAGTGCAACCATAAATTCAAAAGAATTGAAGAGCCGACCAAAAAAAATATTTCTTGAATTATTTACTAGTTTCAACAAGGAACCGAAGTGATAAGCAGAACCTCATGATGTTATTTCTCTCACCAGCTTATCCAAAGTAGGAAATGCAAAGTACAATACCAGGATAGATGGGATTGCCAAAAGAACAGTAACTAGCAAGTAGAGCACTAGGATGAAGATACTGCCGGGTATTGCAAAAAACAACATCAGAAGAAGTATGATCGCCACGGGGAACTTGGATGTGAAATAAATGAAGAAATCAAAAGACTTATAAAGTGAAAAATGGTGTCCCTCTACATTGCTACTGCTAATATTATCTCTATCCGATCCCAGCTGGCCAGGCAATTCACTATGTGAAACCTGGCTGTTGATGCCAGTACCAGAATGATTTGTGAGAGATAGACTGCATATAGGGAAGCAAACCAGTCGATGATTGTAACCACCAAAGGAGCAACCAGATCTAACCCTGTCACCATTCAAACTCTCAATCATCCAAAGAAGGAAGTAATTCTTGCAGGGGAACTTGAGACTTCTCTTGTAGACTAGCCGAAATGACATCAAGTGGCACCATGGGCATAAAATGATGAATGGAATCTTAATTTCTTGAGTTAGGAATCTCAGGACAGCACACTGAAGCCCTAATATGCAATTCTGGCAGAGGGTGTGGCCACACCATAACACATAAGGCACGTTCTCAACAATGTTAAATGATTCCCAGCATACTGGGCATTCCAGTCCTTCCTCCCTGCTAATATCCGAAGAGATCTCCTCATCTGAGAAGTCAGAAGAAGCTCGACTTGGCTGTCCAGAATTCTTCTTCATGCCAGTGCTCCCAATAGCATTAGAAGCAAAGCTCCACATCATGAAGGAATAACAGGTTGGACGGGCAAGACTCACTCCAACCACTAGCGTAGGCCAATGTCATCCATTTCTCCAATTAGAGAACTGCTTAGCCATAAATCTGCATCTTTTTTCCAACCATACCTTCACAAAAAGAAGAAAAGAATCCACAGCAGGCCAGTAAAACCAGTGCCATTTTATTCAACCAAGAAAAATGACACACAAGTAATCCACGTTAGTCTGATCTTTGTAAAACGTTATACTGCAAACACTGACTGACCCCAGAAACAGCAGACTTGAGCCTCATACACTCAACGAATTTAAAAAACCATTACTATGATAGTTGGACAGATTAAAAAACACGCCATAAGGGTCATCCACGAATGCAGCTTTCATTTCAAAAAAACCAAACATCGCGGAATTCTAATCATAATTTCTCGCATAAACATAAGTTAAATGAGACAGTTAACGACTTCATTGATGACTAGAAAGAGATTCTATATTTACAAAATAATGTAGAAAATTTTTCTTAAAGTTACGAATTCAGATCCTAATTAGATAAAATCCTCATTTGTTCCGGATAATAATCGGACATTTCGGAGACGGATTTTGATACATCTATGATAATTCCCGTAATGATCCATGAATTAGAAACAATACTCCATTTCCCCTTAATTTACTAATGCCAATTGTAAAAAAAAAAAAAAAAAAAAAAAAAAAAAAATTATAATTTCGATAAATGCTGATGAATTTATATGAAAGAAAGCAAGAGAAGATAGAGATAATATTACCTCCTATGCACAGATTTTGGAGAAATTGATGAGGGTTGGAGCTGAGACTCAAAACAGGAAGGACAATTTTCCCTGTGTTTTCTTAGAGCTGGCGCACTGCAGTTAATAGGTATTGGGATCTGCAAAAACGAAACCTGCTCCACAAATCTTGTTTTACCACAAGTCGTATCCTTCTATTTTGAATTATATTTCTAGAATATGAATATAATTAATGGTTTGTCATCTTGATAAAAATAATTTTAATTAGTACAATATATTAAATTTTCATAAATTATTAGTAAAAAAATTCTTATCTATAGATCATTTTTATTACTCGAAACTTGCTCATACACGACATCTTCGAGTTTAATTATAAAAAAAAAAAAAAAAAAATTAAACGAATGAGTATATTCTAAGTATGGAACTTATACAATAGTAATACTTTTAAAAGTATAATTAACAAAAAAAAATTATAATTAAACAAATTTAAATAAAATCACAAAGATATTTTGAATATCAAATCCAAAAATAATTAGAGAATACTTAGAGAAAACGAAAGTCCATTATCAGAGATCAACAAAGCATTTGAGTACATGATTTGAAGAAGGATGAAGGCAAGAAAGTAGAAAATGAAAATTTGTTCTTCACGCATGTAGTCTCATGCATTGTTGATCTCCAATTCTGGACTTTGAGCAATTTATATTACAAAATTAAAAATTTTTTGGGTAATTTTAAGAAATGAAAACTGGTAAAAAAAAATAAAAAGATGAGTATGAACAAAGGGTGACTCAAAGGGGTGACCTGAGAACACAAAGTGCGTTGGTGGATGGGAGAGAGGCAACCAACCCACATGTGTTCTCGGGTGGCACCCCTCTGAGCTGAACCATCTGCTATGTCTGCTTATTTTTACATTCCCTTCTTCTTCTTCTTCTTCTTCCTTTTTATAAGCCCCACCATGTCATTAGAATGTTGTCATCCTACCCACATTTCGTCACTTTTCCTCATCCCAAATCAATCTCCATCTTGAATTTTTTGCACTTTTAATGTTATACCCCCAAATTTTCTATTGTTTTCAAATTATATATTCTCAATTTTATTTTCCAAATTTGACCAAACCATCTCTCCAATCGCTTAAGCTAATTATTCAGATTTGAGTTTCATACCTCCAAAATTATCATTACCATCCAACAAATTCTAAAAATTAACATCAAAACTTTTAATCCTAAGTAGTTGTAACAAAAGATTTAAAATTGAAGTTGTCTAACATGCCCATACATTAATCATCGATTAAAAACTTGTTGTTAAAAAAAGGTTCTCCATTCATTTACGAGTAAGAATAAAATATAATATTTATAAATTATTATCATTAAGTTTATGGAATAACTCTCTTGAAACTTGATATAAACGATGGTGGTGATTATCACAAATTATTGGTGCAGTGTATTTTAAATCATTAATGCATATAATTTTTATATTCTAAATTTGACAAGTGTTAAAAAAAACTTCTTGTAAAATATAACACGCTTTTAACTTTTGAATAAATAATATATTCACTATTATGATTTAAACATTTATTATTACGTTTAACTGGTTCATGTCCTACTTTAATGAAATTATAATTATATAAAAATTAATTACTGTTTAACTGAATAATCACTATATTTTTTTCTTACACAAAAATTGTAAATTAATAACAAAATTCTTGTATTATAATTAATTTATATTTATAATTTTTTAAAATAAATGTATAATTACAGGATACTTGATTATTTAAATCAAGTTTCCTTCTTCCTCACCATCTGCTTTTCTCTGCAATATCTTGTAAGACAAACTAGTTGAATCTCTCGTCTCTGCATCTCCATCAATGGACCACAAATCCGATAACCATCACAAGAAGCCATCTCCGTCTGAGTTGCTCTCCAGCGCCAAGCAGGTTGCTGAGGCTGCGAAAGCCACGCTTCATCACGGCAACACCAAGATCGACAAGGCCAAAATGGCCGGAGCTGCCGCGGATCTTCTAGCCGCAGCCTCGCACTATGGGAAGCTGGAGGGGAAAAGCCTCGGCAAATATGTTGGAAAAGCTGAAAACTATCTCCATCAATATCACACCTCTCATTCCACCTCCTCCGCCGCTAACGAGCACTCCAGCCATGGTTCAGGAACTGGGTACGGAGATTACTTAAAGGTGGCTCAAGGTTTCTTAAAGAAACACTGATTATACTCATCTATGTCAGTTTGTCTTTTAGTTTTTAGTGATATAATCAAATCATGCTTGTGGGTTGTTTCTCATTTTGTTTATAAGTTTTACTTGTTGAATCTGGATTTTATCACTGTTTAATTTTAGCTTATCCAACATGGTTGGTAATGGGATCAGTTTCTACCCATGATGATTTTCACTCGTTGAAACATCAAATAGTTTTATAGAAAAATAAAACATCAATCATAGGAGCCATGTAAATACAGTTCATGTTTAAGAAATGTTGTGCTTATGCTGTGTCTCTTTTGTGTCTTGCCATGTTTCGCCGCTGCCTGATTTCTGCTCTGGTTTTCAGCTCTGCGTTGATAGCGATAGAGAAAACAAATTTGTCAATTTCCCTGCATGCTTGTTAGTAAACATATTAGTTTACCCTCACTGTTATCTCTGCTCTCTTTTTCTTTTTTTTTTTTTTTTTTTTTTGTAATTTCTAAAAATGTCATAAAAATATTCAAATAAGTACTTAATTTGATTAAAAAATATTAAGTGTTAATCAAAATAAAACATAATATACTCAATATCAATAATATAATAGTTTAATAATTAAAACTCTTATATCTACTTAAAAATTTTAAATTTTACTAAATATCATATAACTTATAATTTTATTAATTTTTTGTAAATAAAATATTTTTTAAACATAATATACTCAGTACCAATAATATGGTAGTATAGTGGTTAATGGTTGAAGGTTAATAATTAATAGTGGTTTATAATTTAGTGTCTATTTGAAAGTTAATAGTTGGTATTTTACATATAGTTATAATTTTGTGTATTTATTACGAATTAGTGGTAGTCTATATATAATATTTAATTTAATAAAAATAATGATTTAATTTATAGTGTATTGATAGAGTTATTGTAACGTCTCGTTTTTTTTTTCTTTTCACGTTGGACGTAATTAACAAAACAACCAATTCCATAACCAATCGGTCATGCACAAGGAAACACTATCACAATCCCTTATTCAATGATCAAGATAAACCTACAATCATGTACAAGTCATCGCACACAATACAACCATACTCAATATCTATGCTACTATCAATTTTACACATTCCATTCAGTCAAAAGAAACTAAAATCTTTATCCTGTTACTCTACACACTAGGTTCGGAAGCCAACAAATTCGATCCGGACTCCGTCCCTACATCATCTGTAAAGACAAAAAAGTGAGTTCATTTAATCCATTACAATAAAACTCAAAATACAGGTGTGAAATGCAACATTATAAACCTCATACCTCTACCAAC